AGTGTTAGCCAGGTTGATAGAGTCTCATTTGACACCCACCTGCCAGCTCTGTGTCTCTGTTGGGGGAGTGTTCAGAAAAGGAACAACGGCCTCTATCCATCATTCTGTTTGGGAGAAAGCTGTCCCCTAGCTCTCATCCTCATGCCAGACACTTCAGTTCCTCCCCGTATGACACTGGTGCCTTTCAAGCTGCTACCCCAGTGCTGGAGCTCAGAGGGAGTGAGTCTGAGTAAGTCTGTATGTGGGTCCTTTAAGAGGAACTGCTTGGGAATCCAGCAGTTTCTTTCACTGACTTAATCCTCACTGATATTGCAGCCAAAAGTTAGGGAGACTTACCTTCCTGGCGCTGGACCCTTGGCCTTGGACCCCTCACTCCTGAGATATCCCTCCCAATTTTTATTCACCACACATGGGTGTGGGATTAGCCCATTCCATGTCTCCACCCCTTCTATCAGTCTGATGGGTATGGTTTCTTTAATTCCATAGTTGTCAGACTTCCATTCAACTCAATTTCTGACAGTTCTGAGTGATGATTGTTCTATAGTTTAGTTGTAATTTTGATTTGGTTGTGCAAGAAAGAGAGCCATGTTTACTTATGCCTCCATCTTGACCAGAAATCTCCTCTCTATTTATTTCTCCCCCTCCCTCCCTCCCTCCCTCCCTCCCTCCCTCCCTCCCTCCCTTCCTTCCTTCCTTCCTTCCTTCCTTCCTTCCTTCCTTCCTTCCTTCCTTCCTTCCTTCCTTCCTTCTTTCCTTTCCTTTCCTTTCCTCCTTCATCAGGCAGGCCCTTTAACATTTCTTGCAATACTGGTTTTGTGGTAATGAACTCCTTTAGTTAATTTTTTTTCCTCAGGGAAGCTCTTTATTTCACATTCAATTTTAAATGATAGTCTTGCTGGATAGAGTAATCTGGGTTGTAGGTCCGTCCTTTTCATCACTTTGAATATTTGAATATTTCATGCCAGTCCTTTCTGGCCTGAAGTGTTTCTGTTAAGAAGTCAGCTGACAGCCTTATGGGAGCTCTTTTTTAGGTAACTAATTGCTTTTCTCTTGCTGCTTTTAAGGTTCTTTCTTTGTCTTTAAACTTTGGCACTTTAATTATGATTAGTCTTGGTGTAGGCCTCTTTTGGTTCGGGACTCCCTATGCTTCCTGCACTTGTGTGACTTTTTCCTTCACCGGGCTAGGAAAGTTTTCAGCTGTTATTTCTTCAAACAGATTCTCTATCCCTTGCTCACTCTCTTTTCCTTCTGGTACTCCTATGATGTGGATGTTGTTATTCTTGATGTTGTCCCAGAAGTCACTTAGCCTTTCCTCATTGTTTAAAATTCTCTTTTCTTTTTGATACTCTGCTTGGATGATTGCTGTTATCTTTGTCCTCCCAAGTGTATATTCTGTCCTATGCTTCATCTAAGCTGATGTTGATTCATTCTAGTGTATTCTTCATTTCTGACTGGTTCTTTTGTGTGGTTTCTATGTCTGTTTTAATGTTTATTATCTCTTCATTTAAGCACTCATTGAGATCACCCATTCTTTCCCTAAGGTCCTTGAGCATCCTTATAACCAATTTTTTAAAAGATTTTATTTATTTATTTATTTTAGGGAGCAAGGGGAAAAGAGGAAGAAAGAGATGGAGAGTAACATCGATGTGAGGGAGAAACATCAATTAGCCTCTCACATGCACCTTGACCAGGGTTCAAACTGGTAACTTTATCTTTGTGGGACAATGCCCAACCAACTGAGCTACACTGGTCAGGGTGATATCACCATAATTTTAAACTCTGCATCTTGTATTTTGGTTCTTCCACTTCATTTAATTTTTTTTATGGGGATTTCTCTTGTTCTTTCATTTAGGGCCTATTTCTTTTTTTCTCAATTTTGCCTGCCTTTTTGTGTTTGTCTCTGTGTATTAGGTAGATCTGCTGTAACTCCCAAACTTGTTATGAGGGCTTTCTGATGTAGGTGCCTTTTGGGTCTCAGTGGTGCAGTCTTCTAGATCACCCTACCTAGGTGCCCCAGAAATGAATCTTGTGTGGGCTATGTGCCTTCCCCTGTTGTAATTGAGTCTTAAATGCTGTTGTCCCATTCATGGGTAGAGTTAACCCTCGGGCTTGCTGACTATATGGATAGACCTTATTCACCATGTATGAGTCACTGTTCAGGGGCTGCTCCCTGAGGCAGAGTTGTTCCCAGCAGGGTATGGTGTCTGCCGGAGTCTCCATTTGGCTGTGACATTTGTGTGGCTAGTTGGGTCAAGTTCTGGTGCAGTTAAAAGCCCACCAAATGGTTGTGTTGGTTTTGGGACCTCTTCACTGGGCTCCAGTGCAGGTCGACGTCAAGTGTTGTGTGTAACTGTCCCTGAACTACCTGTCTGGAGCTACCATGCCATTCACTGTTTGTGGCTCTGTCTGCTGGGCCTTGGTGTGTGTGGAGACACTAAGCTGTGTACCAGGATTAGCTTCCTGAAGCTTTGAGCTTGGGACAGATCAATAAAAGTCCAAAGTTTGCATCCACCTGTTGGCTACTCCACCCCACCATGAGGCTGCCTGGACTTCCTCCAGAGTCTTGTGAAGAAAGGCTGTACAGCAGGCCCAAGCTGGCCATGCCCCACTGACCCTTTCACATGGCTCAAGCTTGGTAGAGCAGGGTAACTAGGAAGGGAGGGCAGAGCTAGTGGGTCCACTACTTGGGGGCAGCACGGTCAGGCACTCAATGGGGAGAATGTGGCCCCTACTCCAGAGCCATACCACTCAGTCTCTACTCTAGTCTCCAACTTAGCTCCCCCGGGAGAAGAACACCACAGGTTACGGTTGGGTGCAGCCAACTGTCCCCATCGCAGGAGCAAGCTTGGCAGGATGTGGCCACTGGGACTTGGGCAAAGAGATTAAGAAAGCCTTCCATTTTTTATGCCACACCTGAGCCATGGGAAGGGGAAAGCTGCACTCCCCTTAGCTCTGTAGCAACACCTGTTTGAGCCCCAGATTGGAGCCTTTGAGGGAGATGCACTCCAAATATCTCAGCTCTGAGCAGAGCCACCTTTCCCCCATGGAACTGAGCCCAACAGCATGGGGCCACCTGGACTTATAAAAGCAGGTCAAGACAGTCTTCTGGTGGGGATGGTGTTGGCCTGTGGGAGGAGACCTACCTGCACATCTCCCCTAGCTCCACAGCTGCACTGCCAGAGACCCTGACAGGAGGCTCCAGATGGGTCACGCCATAGGTCCCTGCTCTGATCTGTGTCCCATTGCCCTTATGGAACTGAGCTCAGCAAGATGGGGCCAGGGAAATTTGGGAATGCAGATCAAGGCAGCTCTCCTTTGGGGGCGGTGCAGGCCCACTGGAGGGGAGCAAGCTGCACACCTCCCATTAGCTCTGTAGCCTCACCACCAGAGACCTTGACTAGGGAGATTTCCGCTGGGGGTGGTGCCTGCCGAATTCACTAGAGGGGGGAAAGTTGACCCCTGTTCTAAAGTCACACACTCAATGACTGTCTAAGAGTTTGCCTATAGTTTCTCCAGAAAAAGAGTACACCCTGGGTCCATTTTGGGTGCAGCCAACGGTCTTTTCTGCTGGATTCAGGCATGACAAGGTGCTGTCACCAATATTTGGAGGACTGATTCAGTGCACTCCGGTGCACTCCAGCTGCTACTATAAGAATAGGAGTGCTGCCCTGACCCTTGTGGCTCAGTTGACTGGGCATCATCCCGCAAAGCAAAAGGTTGCTAGTTAGATTTCAGGGTACATGCCTAGGTTGTGGGTTCAGTCCCCCTGATTGGGGTGCATACAAGAGGCAACCAATCAATGTTTCTCTCTCACATCAATGCTTCTCTCCCTGTCTTTCTCCCTCCCTTACCCTCTCTCTATAAATAAATACATACATACATACTGAAAAAGAAATACATATACTGTATTTTTTAAAAAATTCTATTTATTTTTAGAGAGGGAAAGGGAGGGAGAAAGAGAGGGAGAGAAACATCAATGTGTGGTGCCTCTTATGCACCCCCCACTGGGGACCTGGCCTGCAACCTAGGCATGTGCCCTAAACTGGGAATCAAACCAGCGACCCTTTGGTTCACATGCCAGCGCTCAATCCACTGAGCAACACCAGCCAGGGTGAAATACATTTACTTTAAAAAGAAAAAAAAGGATAGGGGTGCCAACCCTGGAAGATAGTGCTTGAGGGTGGTATGGAATGCTGACACAGGACCAGGACCTCAGAAGCTGACCCTTCAGATCTCTCCCTGGAGCCATGCCACCCAGGTTTTCTCTTTGTGGCTTCCCTATGCCCTGAGTGACCTTCCCTCTACCAGAGTCCCAGGTGAGTACCCAAGAGTGAGCGCTTGTTTTTTGGCCCTTTAGGAGAGCACCCGGGATCTAGCAGATCACTCTTCTTTCCAGTGGACAGAGTCCCCACTGATTTTTGCTGCCAGATGCTATGCAGGATCCTCTTCCCTGCCCTGGTGCTCTGGTTTGAGGTCCCAGCATGGGGTTGAGACCCCACGCTCCTTTGGTCTTTTGCAGCTGAGATAGCCCTTTGGCTTCTCAGCTGCTGCACCTGGGTGCCCGGGCCAGCCTTCTCTGCATCTCTAGCCTTCTTACCAGTCTCTGTGTAGCTTCTTTTATAAATTCTTGGATATAATACTCCTGTCCAGCTATCCTTCAGTTGGTCATTCAGGTTGATTGCTCTATAATTTAGTAATAAATCCAGTTTGGTGCCAGGAGGTATGTGTAGCTTCCAACTACTCTACAGCCATCTTGGATCACCCCATACCTGGTTTCAAACCCAATGTTCTTCTCATTCCTTCAAAGTAATGCTAGGATGGTGAGGGCAGAAAATATGTTTAAGAGGGAAAATATGAGACCCACGGTAAAGGTGGAATTAGCAGGACTTTGACTGCATAGCTTAAAAGTCACTGTCACTGACATTCTGGGAAGAGAGGTGACCAAAGCTTAGTGTCAAACTGTGAATTTATTAATGTATTCCCCTTTCTTATGCTTATAGGACATTAATATGCAGCTGGTTGACATAATGCAAAGGGTGCAACAGACAATAAGACGCTACGCTGCTGATGAGAATGTGACCTCTGGAAGGAAAATCTCCCTTGAGGAACATAAGAAATGGAGAATAAATTTGCTGGAGAAAATAGCTGCTTATACTAATTCTGCTGAAATTAAAGAAATGACACTCATCCATATCCTGGCATGGTTGAAAGAATGGAGTAAGTTTTCAAAAGTTAATGAAAAAGGTAGAGAACAGAATCTAGTGAAAGGATACAGAAAAAATCTGCCTGGCCGAGAGTTGTCACTAAGGTTTAACGATGGGAAGTCAGCTCAGTTGGCAGGCAGTGGGATGGGGGAGGGGAGGGATCAAAATTCAAGAGTATTGGAAAATAAATTTCTACTATCTCTTTCAGACAATGACTTTGTTCTTATTCATAAATTATAATGAATTATACTTATAATACTTTTATTTAAATGCAGTATCTTACTCAGCAGGCTTTATCTGTATTCATATGGATACCAAGTGTTAAAATATAGTTATTACTGGGCATTTGAACTTTGTTTTTCTTTAACAGAAAATAATGCTACTATTAAACATCTTTGAAAATGGAAAATAAAATAAAATAAGTTGTTCTCTGACCATCCCCATTCCCTATCCCTTGTCCACTACTCTCTACTCTTCTTTATTTTTGTCTATAGCATTTCTTACCATCTGACATACTATATATGTTTTATTTATTTATAAAAAATTTATTTATTTATTTTTAGAGAAATAGGAAGGGAGGGAAAAAGAGAGGGAAGAGACACATTGATGTGTGAGAGATACATCCTTCAGTTGCCTCTCATGTGCCCCCAACTCAGGACCTGGCACGCAACCCAGGAATGTGCCCTGACTGGGAACTGAACCAGTGACCTTTTGGTCTGCAGGCCAGCACTCAATCCACTGAACTACACCAGCCAGGGCCTAACATACAGTACAAGCAGTACAAAGTCAAGGAATTTGTTTAATGTTTTATCCTTAAAATCTAGAACAGTACGTGATAGAGGAAGTGTTGTTTGAATGAAAAAACGAATAAACTAAGAATGCAAGAAAAGAGTAATTTCATTTGATTGGAAGAAATCTTATGTAACAGGGGTTATAAAATAGATTATTTACCAAGAGTTGATTAGGTTTTAGATCCCCAATATTAAAACATATGTTCACATTTGGATACCTACTTCCCTGGAGTCTTAGAACTAAACCAAATAGATATCTTTTAATCTGGTTCATATTTTTATGTCCAAGACTTACTGTTTAACCTTCTATTCCAAGTCTGTTCCTTTTTATTGCCTCACAGAGAAAAGTCTCAGAATAGCAGTGTGAGATACTTATATTCCCCTATACTACATTGAGTAGTTAGCCAGTATTATAAGGGTTACAATTATTTATTTTTCTGCACAAAAGTAATTTTCTTATTCTCTTCAAGATGCCACTTTGTCTGAGATGACTGCATTTGATATTGATGAACACCACCGCTGGATAGTACAAATGGAGCTTTTATCAGAAATGTTCAAAGCTTTTGAAAGTAATGTCAAGATGCTGAATAGAACTAGTACCTCTTTGCTCAAAGAAAAGAAGCAAAAGAAAAAAATAAGTAAGGATGCTTTAAGACATTGGAAATAGATTTTTCTTTTCTAAAAGGCATATTTATTGAGGTGTAATTTACATACCATAAAATTCACACATTTAAAGTGTACAATTCAATGACTTTTAGTAAATTTAGACTTGTGCAATCATCACCACAATCCAATTTTAAAACATTTCCATCATCCTGGAAAGATCCCTCAGGCCAATTTGCAGTCAATATTCATTCCCATGCCCCTCTCCAGACAATCACTAATCTATTTTCTGCCTCAACTGATTTTGCCTTTTCTGGATGCTTCATAAAATGGAATTATATTATATGTGTTCTTTTATGTCTGATTTCTTTCATTTTGTATAATGCTTTTGAGGTTCAGCCATGTTATAAGATGTATTAGTCATTTTTTCCTTTCTATTGCCAATTGCATACTGTTATTTGCATATACCACACTTTGTTTACCCACTCACCATTTCATGGACGTGGATTATTTCCAATTTTTGGCTCTTATGAATAATGCTGCTATGAACAACATGTATAAGTTTTTGTGTGGACATAGGTTTTCATTTGAGTAGATACCTAGGAGTAAAATTGCTAGGCCATTTATCTATTGCTGGTAAACTTATGTTTAACTTTTTAACAAATTGTTAACTGCTTTCTCAAGTGACAGCAACATTCTACATTCCCGTTAGTAATGTATTTGGGTTCCAGTTTTTCAACATCCTCAAAAACACTTGTTAGTGTCTGTCTTTTTTATCATAGCATTTCTAATAGGTGTAAAATGACATCTCATTGTGGTTTTAATTTGTGCTTTTCTAGTGACTAATGATGTTCAGCACCTTTTCAGGTGCTTAATAGCCATTCTATCTTCTCCGATGGAGTATCTATTCAAATGCATATTAATCTTTGTTATTGAGTTTTAAGAGTTCTTTATATTGTTTGGATAAAGTGATTTGCAGATATTTTCTCCCAGCCTGTGGTTTGTCTTTTCATTTTCTTTTGTTTTTTTTAAAAAAAATTGTATTTATTTATTTTTAGAGAAAGGGGAAGGGAGGGAGAAGGAGAGGGAAAGAAACATGGATGTGTTAGAGATATATCCGTCAGCTACCTCTTGCACACCCCTAACTGGGGAACTGGCCCACAACCCAGGTATGTGCCCTGACTAGGAACTGAACCAGTGACCTTTCAGTTCACAGGCCAGCACTCAATCCACTGAGCCACACCAACCAGGGCGTGCACGCATGCGTGCATGTGTCTTCATTTTCTTAATGGTGACTTTGAAGCCCAAAAGTGTTTAATTTTTATAAAGTCCAATCAATTTATCATTTTTTCTTTTATAAAAGTTTTATCATAGCCCTGGCCGGGTAGTTCAGTTAGTTAGAGTATCATCCTGATATGCCAAAGTTGCCGATTCACACAGAAATGGAGATCACATGGAGGGTTATCAGCGGGGAGGGACCGGGGTGGGGGGGAATGGGAGAATAAGTACAGGGAAGAAGAAGCATAAATGGTAAGTACAAAATAGACAGGGAGAGGTTAAGAATAGTATAGAAAGTGGAGGAGCCAAAGAATGTATATACAAAACCCATGGACATGAATTTGGGGGGGAAATGCTGGTGGCCGGGGGGGAGGGGGTGGGGTAAAGGGCAGAGGGGAATAAACAGGAGAAAAAAATAGAAAAAACTGTAATAGCATAATCAATAAAATATACTTAAAAAAAACCTAACAAAGTTGCAGATTCAATCCCTGGTCAGGGCACATACAAGAATTAACCAGTGAATGTATAGATGGGTGGAACAACAAACTGATGTTTCTCTCTCTCTCTCTCTCAAAATCAATAAATTAAAAAAATTTAAGTTTTATCATTGTTTAGTGTTGTATCAAGAACTTGTATCTGTCAGGGTTCAACCAGAGAAACAGAACCAGTAGATTATATATTATCTATGTGTCTGTCTATCCACCTACCTACCTACTTATCTCTCTCATTGAACTGGGGAACATACTTTGTACTATTTCAATCCTTTTAAATTTATTGGGACTTGTTTTATACCCTAGCATATGGTCAATTTTAAAAATGTTTCTTGCTCCAGCCAGTGTGCCTCAGTTAGGGGAGTGTCATGCCATAAACTGAAAGGTTGTGGGTTTGATTCCCAGTCAGGGCATATGCCTGGGTAGCAGGTTCCATCCCCAGTCAGGGTGCATGCAAGAGGTAACCAGCTGATGTTTCTCTCTCTCCCTCCCGCTTCCCTTCCCCTCTCTTTAAAATCAATAAACATGTCTTTGGCTGAGGATTAAAAAAATGTTTCTTGTGTGCTTGAAAATATATATTCTACTTTTTTTGGGTGGAATATTCTACAGTTGGTTTATACTGTTCTTCTAGTCTTCTATACATATCCTTACTGGTTTCTAGTCTAGTTATTCTATCCATTATTGAGTAGGATACTGAACTCTCCAACTATTATTGTTGAGTTGTTTATTTCTCTCTTTAATTCTATCAGTTTGGCTTCCTGTATTTTAAACCTCTCTTGTTAGGTGCATATATGTTTATAATTGTGATGGCTTCCTGATGAACTGGCCCTAATATATATATATATAAATATTTTTTGTCTTAGTCGATTTTGTCTAATGTTAGTAAAATCTCTCCAGCTGATCTGTAACTACTGCTTGCAAGGTTCTCTCTAAGATGTGTTGCTTATAGTTGAATCTTGTGGGATTTAAAAAATAAAATAAAATCTGGCAATCTCTGACTTTTGATTGGAATGTTTAATTCATTCATATTTAATATAATTATTAATATGTTTGGATTTATACTTGCTATGTTGCTGTTTTCCATATGTCTCATATCTCTTTTTCTCTGTTCATCTTTCTCTGTCTTCTATGTTAAACAGACATTTTCTAGTGTAACATTTTAATTCTAGTTTTTCCTATAGTTTTAAAGTAATTTTCTTAATGATTGCTGTACAGATTGCAGTATACATCTTAAATTATCATGATCTGCTTCAGATTAGTACTTTCTTTATTCCAGCAAAACATAGACTCTTCGCTCTGATAGCTCTATTCCCTTCTATCCCTAGTGCTTTGTCATATATATATTACATAGTTATGTGTTACAAGCCCAACAATATAGTTTTATGATTATTGTTTTACATAATTGTCTTTTTAATAGATATTTCTCTCCCACCTCTCTAAAAATCAATCAATAAAAATAATTTTAAGAAGTTTAATCATAGGAAAAAGAAAAATCTTGTTACCATATTTTGTATTTACCTACATATAGTGATGCTTTTTTATTGCTTTGTGTGAATTTGAGTTATCCTTTTGTGTCGTTTCCTTTCAACTTGAAGGATTTCTTTAATATTTTTGAAAGGCATGTCCACTAGCAACAAATTCTTCCTGTCTGCTTATCTTTGAATATCTTTATTTCACCTTCATTTTCTTTAGATGTTATTTATGTATTTTTACTGAGAGGGGAAGGGAGGGAGAAAGAGGGAGTGAAACATTGATGTGTGAAAGAAACATCGATCAGTGGTCTCTTGCACATGCCCCAACTGGGGACTGACCCCCAACCAGGCCTGAGCCCTGACCAGGAATCAAACCAGCAAACTTTCACTTTGAAGGATGACACCCAATGAACTGAGCCACATTGGTCAGAGCTCACCTTCATTTTTTAAAAAAGATTATATTTATTTATTTTTTAGAGGAGGGGTGAAAGGAGGGAGAAAGGGAAGAGAGAAACATTGATGTGTGAGAGAAACATCAATGGATTGGTTGCCTCTCACACATGCTCCAACTAGGGACCTGGCCTGCAAGTCAGGCATGTGCCCTGACCAAGAAATGAACTAGTGACCTTTTGGTTTATGGGACGATGCTCAACCCACTAAGCCACACCAGTCAGGGCTCACCTTCATTATTACTTAAAAGCAGTTTTATTTTTTTTAAATTTATTGATTTTAGAGAGGGAGGGAAAGGAGGGGAGAGAGAGACACTGACTGGTTGTTTCACTTATTTATGCATTCATTTGTTGATTCTTGTATGTGCCCTGACCCGGGTTCAAACACACAAGCTTGCTGTATTCGGATGATGCTCTAACCAACTGAGCTACTCAGCCAGGGCCAAGGCAGTTTTAGATTAAGAGAAAAATTGAGAAAATAACACAGAGTTCTACAAATCTCCTCATAGTTTTTACTGTTATTAATATCTTAGATTAGTATGATACACATGTTATAATTAACAAATCAATATTGTACATTAATAATGAAAGTCCATAATTTATTCATAATTCCTTATTTTTACCTAATGTCCTTTTTCTGTTTCAGGATCCTATATAGGGTACCTGACTATGTTTACTTGTCATGTCTCCTTTGGCTTTCTTGGATGTGACAGTTTTGCAGATTTTTCCTTGTGCTGTACGTCCCTGACAGGTTGTTTTTTTTTAAACCCTCACTTGCGGATATGCTTAGTGATTTCAGAGGGAGGGGAAGGGAGGAAGATAGATAGGGAGAAACATCAATCCAAGAGAGAAAAACATCAATCGGTTGCCTTTTGTTCATACCCCTAATGTGGACCGAATTTACAACCTAAGCATGTGACCTGACCAGGGATTGAACCCATGACCTTTTGTTTTACTGGACAATGCTCCAACCAATTCCATCACACCAGCCAGGGCTTGACAGTTTTGAGGAGTACTAGACAGGTATATTGTAAGATGCCCCTCTACTGGAATTTATATGATTTTTTTTCATGTTTATCCTGGGGTCATGGGTTTGGGGGAGAAAAATCACAGAGGTAAAGTACCATTATTGCCATATTATTTCAAGGGTACATATTATCAAATGATTTTTGACTTAATGTTGACATTGATCACCTGACTAAAGTAGTGCTTTTCAGGTTTCTCCACTATAAAGTTACTCTTTTTTCTCATTTTCCTTACTGTACTTTTTAAAAGGAAATATATATGTTCAGCCCACTACTTTATGGTGGAGTATCTACTTTAATTATTTGAAGTTGTTATGCACAAGAATTTGTCTCTTATACCCATTTATTAATTTTTTAAAAATTTTTAGTTTCTATCGAAATGAACTAACAGATATTTACATTATATTTTGGAGTATAATTCAATACTACTTCATTTCTTGCTCAGGTTATTCTCGCTTTGGCCATTGGGACCTCTTTTAATTGGTTCCTGTGCCCCTTTGACATACTCCCATCAATATAGTTTTTTTTTCTTTTATTTTTTTTAGTATTTTTCTGGCACTACAAGATGATTCAGGTTCATTTTGAATATTTCCTACCCCAGTATTAGGATTTTCTATTTCTCCAAGAGTTCTGGTTCCTTTTATTATAGAATAGTATTATTAAAAACCAAGCTTTGGCTGCTAGATGTGCTCGTTGTTAACTGCGGCGTCATTTTGGTTTGGCCCTCTCATCTGACAGCAAAACAAAAACAAAAACAAAAAGGTGTGTGTGTACAAAGCCATGAAGATACAAGGTCTATCCAAAGGCATCCAGCCATGTAATATGAAAAATAGACACATTTATTGAAGAAGATAAAAGATACAAGAAACATTGTACACAGGACAATGATGCCTAAATCCCTTTTAAAGTAGTTTCCTTGGGATCTCATAAAGTTCTCCAAATTGCCGTCAGCTGCCCCGTCATATTTTCCAGAATCTCATTGATGGTCTGAAATCTCTTCCCTTTCAAAAGCAATTTTAGTTTTGGGAAAAACCAGAAGTCACAGGGCACCAAATCTGGGCTGTAGTGGGGCTGAGTCACTTGGGTGATTTGATGTTTCACCAAAAAACTCTGCACAAGATGTGATGCATATGTGGACATGTTGTGGTGATGAAGCTGCCAATCACCAATTGCCCATAGCTGTGGCTTTCTGAATCATCCAAATAGTTTCTGAGGAAGAATGTTCAAGCTTAACGCAAAATTCGATGCAGATCTGTTGCTCTACTCACTCAGTCATTTTGAATGTGACAGCCACACAGTACACACATGCTCACTCAACAGCACCTACCACCCCCACTGACTAGTACAGTGAAGTTGTCATTGTTCACACATGTGCATTCCCATCCACTCTCCTTGGCAGCCAGGTTACATCGATAGCATGCAAACTGTTCTCATTATATTAGTATCAATCCAAAGTATCAATAGTGTCACTCACATCAAACTTGAAAGCATTAGCTGAGCTTTCTCCACAATCATCCGTGGTCATTAGCAAGGATGATAAAGAAGAAAGGATGGACAGTATTTTGGCCAAAGAATTTGAAAATAGTGTGAATGAGGCACAGAGAAAGGGGACCAAAGACTCAGGGATCAAGTGGGACTCAGGTATTTCATATACAGTAGTTGGAATTTTTCTGGACAGACCTCGTAAATCTATCTATAGATATTTATCTATATAGTCATCTGCAACTACATTAAGCTAAACATGAGTTCTCATTGATGTCTCTAACTCTAATCCATTGTCATCTAGATCATTGTATCTCCCTACCCTTGCTTACCTGTAAACCCCCTAACAATGAGAAATCTGCTCCTATCATCTGCCATCCATTTACTTATTTGCTGAATTTCAGTATATGGGTATAGCAGTATCAGATTATTAACCCATACACTCATGGGAAACAACTTATCAACTATAGTACAGCACTTGCGTGCAGTTATTTTTGCCTTCAGCCATATAGACTCGATTCATTTCCAGTTATTCAGGACACGACTTTTCCCTCCATCCCTTTCAGTGAGGTTGTGTCATACATTTCTAATACAGTTAGATTCTCTTATCGTAGTCTGTATTCCTTCCTGGGATCCCCTAACCTCCTAAATAGCTATTTTTAAAAATTTGCATACATCGTTTCACTGTTTGTGCTATAGAGTTCTATGGGGTTTGATAAATGCATATGGTCATGTATCCACCATTACAGTATCATACAGAATAGTTCCCCCATCCTAAAAACCTGTTTTCACCTATTCATCTTTCTCTTCTCTCCCCAAACCCTTGGCAACCACTGATTTTTCTTTTTTCTTTTTTGGAATGTTTTAAAGAATGTCATATAATTGGAATTATGCAGTATGTAGCCTTTTCAGACTGATTTCTACCACTTAGCAACACACATTTATGGTTCTTCCATATCTTTTGGGGGCTTAATTACATATTTCTTTTTATTGCTGAATAATGTTTCATCGTGTAGATATACTACAATTTGTTTATTTACCTATTGAAGGACATCTTGGTTGCTTCTAGTCTTTCATGTTTAAGAATAAAGTTGTTATAAACATGTTTATGCAGACTTTTTTGGTGTGTGTATATAAATTTTCAATTTCATTGGGTAAATACCTAGGAGAATGGTTACTGCATCATATAAGACTACATTACTTTGTAAGTAACTTTGTAAAAAACTGCCAAACTCCCTTCCCAAGTAGCTGTGCCATTTTTTATTTCCCATCAGTAATAAGCAAGAGCTCCTGTTGCTCCTTATCCTTGTTAACATTTAGTATTATCAGTTTTTTGGATTGCAGCTATTTTAATAGGTGTGTGACAGTATATCATTATAATTTGCAATTCTCTAATAACATGATATTGAGCATCTTATGTCTACTTGCCCTCTGTATATCTCATTTTTTATCTTTTTTTATGAGTTATACATACTTGCTACTTTGAAAAAAGAATTATGTCAGGGAATGGACATTATAGATATTCCATAACGCATTTAGAGAAGTGTTTAAAAACACATACAGTAAAGATGGTTATGAGTTGTTAATGCATGCTACTTTGGGAAGAATGTTATTTCAGGGAGTGGATGCCTTATCTTCATTTTTTGAATAGATTTGCTGGATATAGAATTCTTGTATATATTAAAAGTATAATTCTTTCAACACTTTGAATATGTCATCCCACTGCCTTCTGGCCTCCATCATTTCTGCTAAAGAGTGAGCTGTAATTCCTCCTGTGCTTGATGAGTCTCTTTTGATTGTTATAAGGTATTTTTCTCTTTTTTCTTTAAAGATTCTCTCTTTGTCTGGCTTTCGATGGTTTGACTATGATGTATCTAGGTATGGATTATTTTGTATTTGTACTACTTATAATTTGCTGAGTTTCTTGAATGTGTAAATGAATGTTGTTGTTTTTTACCAAATTTGGGATGATTTAGCCTTTATTTCTTCAATTACTTTTAATGTCCCTCTCTCCTTTTCTGGGCCTTCTATTATTTGTACACTGGTATGCTTAATGGTGTCCCACAAGTCTCTGAGGCTTTGTTTATTTTTCTTTATTTTTTCTTCTCCCTGTTCTTCAGATTAGACAATTTCTACTAATCCAGCATCAGGTTTGCTGTTATTTTCTTCTGCTAATTCAGATCTTCAATTGAGCCCTTTTGGCTAATTTTTTATTTTAGTTATTATACTATTTAGCTCCATTTTTTCCCACTTTGTTCTTCTAATTTCCATCTCTACTGATATGCTGCATATGATGAGTAATTATCATCATATTTGTTTCCTTTAGCTATCTGTTAATTCATACTAACTTCCTTAGGCTTAAACATAGATAGAAAACAACACACAAAAAAGTGCGGTCTCATCGTTTTGTGTTTTACGGTTTGTTCGTTTGTTTTTCTTCTAGCATCTAGAGGTACTCTATGGAAAGCTTGGAAAGAAAGAGTTATAAAGCGACCTGCAACAGCCCATGCTTTAAGACCAGATCAGATGATTAGTGATGAATTTGCAGCAAATACAAAGGTTTCAGAAATCCAAGGTATGCTACAGGAACTCATAGATAATGCAATTTTCAATAAATTGGAAAACAATGCTATTAAATATATATCATCAACAATAGTAAACCTTTCTATAGCATTGAGTTCACTAAAGGATGAAGTAAAAGTTATTAACCTCCAAAATGCCAATATGTATATAAATGAGACAAGTGAAAAAGAAAAAGAGGTCTCCCTGAAGATAATACAAGATCTCAGTGAAGAAAATGAAATGCTTCAGCAGAAACTTCAAGATGCAGAATTAAAATGTGAATATCTTATTCAATCCAAAGTATCAACAGTGTCACTCACATCAAACTTGAAAGCATTAGCTGAGCTTTCTCCACAATCATCCGTGGTCATTAGCAAGGATGATAAAGAAGAAAGGATGGACAGTATTTTGGCCAAAGAATTTGAAAATAGTGTGAATGAGGCACTGAGAAAGGGGACCAAAGACTCAGGGATCAAGTGGGACTCAGGTATTTCATATACAGCCCAAGTTGAAATGATTCCAGATTTAATTGAACAGCAATCCCCTCTACCTGAGAAAAAACAGAAAACACCTTCCAAAGATATCACTGAAGATAAGATATCACTGAAGGAAGGTGATGTCTCTCAGAAAGGTGGTACTGACCAATATCAATCACAGAAAAGTAAGAGCACAAAAGGCCCATATGTGCAGGAGATCTCTGGACCTAATCTGAGTGATGATAAAGGTAAACAGATAGTCTCAGAGACCAAAGCTGATTACCACTTTGAGCTACCAGAACTGGAAAAGAATAAAGAAGTAAAATTCCTTTCTGAAGCCAAATCAAAATCATTCACTGAATCAAAAATTCGGCATGTCCCTGCTGATTTCCCTTCTATTGACACAAAGGGCCAAGGTAGCAAAAGTGTACCTACTGTTTGGGAACGACTTAAGGAGATGAAAATTGAACACATACTTGAGAAAAGCCAAATTTCTTCAGAGAATCAAGAGAAGCCTACCACTGAGTCAATGGACAAAGAAAGCAAAAGTGATATGAGTAGCCAAGCAAGGCCATACGGTTTGATCCAACTTGATAATTCCTCTGAGAAAGTAAAAACAAAAAGAAAAAAACGTCAAATCTCTGCAGGAGCTACCACAAGCAAAGAAGGAAAAACAGAAGTGGATATGTCAGTCTTCTCCAAGAAGCTCAAGTCTCATGAATTTGTTAAATCAAAATCTAGGATAACTGAAGAGGCTTCAGAATCTACTAAAGTTCCAGGAATTCCAGATAGTGAAAGTGAACCAAGTAATCTAGAAGAATTTCATAAAGCCATAATGGCTTTCTTAAAAGAGAAAATTGATAACACAGGAAAGCCGGTGGATAAAAAGACTGTGCCAGAAGAGGAGCTAATACTAAAAGAAACAGAAGTGGAAAAATTAGGAATCATAAAGGCAAAAATGGAGGAATATTTCCAAAATGCGGCTGAAACTGTGACAAAAATCTTGAGAAAATACAAAGACATAAAAAATGTAGGAGAAGTTGGAGAGAAACCTATGAAACAAAAAACAGTAGTCTCACTTATGCCAGGATTGCATTCTCAGGAGCCAATTAGTGCAAAGTCTGACATTAGCTCCTTACTGTCATCTGTGAGCATGGACCCAGTAATTCACAATGTGATACAAATGATCTTGACAGAAATAGAAGGTGAAAGAGATGCACCAGTAGCCTCAATAGCAGGGAGAGACCACAAGGAGAAGGAAAAACAAAGGCAGGAGGAATATCTGCAAGAAGTTCAAGAAAAAAGTTTTGATATGAATCCTAAAGACAAGTTGCAAGAAGAAAGGAATCTCTGGAAGGCGAGCTATGAGATGATAAGTAAAAATTTGGAGCAGGAAAAGTCATGGCTCCAGATGGAGGGAAAGCAAGAGCAACAGAAAGAGAATCAGTGGCCAGAGGAAGTGTGGAAGAAACAGCAAAAACAGAGGATGCAAAAGCAGATTGAGCAGGATGAGAAGCAAAAGCAAATGGAAGAGGAGAAAGAGCAAAAGCAGCAGCTGGTAGCAGGGAGGCAAAAAATGAAAGAGCAAGGAGTGCTCTTGGAGAAGAAGCAGGGACAGCAGGTGGGGCAGGTTCAGAAAGAAGTGAAACATCTGAAGCAGGAAAGCAGTTGGGAGAAAGAGGAAGAGAAGCAGAAGCCAATGAGAAAGGTAGAGGACCATCAAAGTCAGTGGCAGAAAAAAGCAAAGGAGCAGATGAAGGGTAAGGCGGAACTCTCTGAAGAACTAGGAAAGATGTTAAGCTACACTTCAATGACATTGTCTCCTAGGTGGAAGAAAATGTGGAAAGGTGAATCTCGGTTACACAAACGACAAGAGTTCCTTGTGAATCTTAACACATTAGAGACTCTTGCTGATGAAGAGCACTCCATGCCAATCGTTCCTTCCACCTCCACACAGTCTTCCTTATCTGGGCCCTTTTCTATTTCTGGAGAGTCTCCCACAAAGTCCACTGCTGTCATTCATGAGGAGGCCCAGGCGCTGGGAATCACTCCCCGCTCTCAGCTGATTCAGGCATTGGAGGGTGCTCCTGCTCCTAAGATGCCTCAGGGCTTGGGAGTAACTTATCCATCTGAGCAGGCACAGGCATTGAAGATTCCTCTCACTTTGGAACAAATCCCCAAATTGAAAATCCCTTTCGAACTTCAGAAGGCACAAGTACTGGAGGCCTTTCTCACACAGCAAAAAGAAAAAACATTGAGGAGCCCTATTACCCCTGAGAAGAACGAGTCATTGAAGTCATCTCTCGCATTAGAACAAGCCCAGGCAATGCACATCCCACTAAGAGCAGAACAGGCACAGATTTGGGGGGCACCTATTACTCAAGAACAGGGCCAGGCACATAAGGCCATTCTTATCCCTAAGTGGGCACAGACACAGGATATCACTTTCACCCCTGAGCAGGCCCAGGCACTTGGGGTCACCCTCACCCCTCAGCAGGTCCAGGCTCTTGGGGTCACTCTCACCCCTGAACAGGCCCAGGTGCTTGGGGTCACTCTCACCCCTGAGCAGGCCCAGGCACTTGGGGTCACTCTCACCCCTGAGCAGGCCCAGGCGCTTGGGGTCACGGTCACCCCTCAGCAGGCCCAGGCGCTTGGGGTCACTCTCACCCCTCAGCAGGCCCAGGCGCTTGGGGTCACTCTCACCCCTCAGCAGGCCCAGGCTCTTGGGGTCACTCTCACCCCTGAGCAGGCCCAGGCTCTTGGGGTCACTCTCACCCCTCAGCAGGCCCAGGCGCTTGGGGTCACTCTCACCCCTCAGCAGGCCCAGGCGCTTGGGGTCACTCTCACCCCTCAGCAGGCCCAGGCGCTTGGGGTCACTCTCAGCCCTCAGCAGGTCCAGGCACTTGGGGTCACTCTCACCCCTGACCAGGCCCAGGCGCTTGGGGTCACTCTCACCCCTGAGCAGGCCCAGGCGCTTGGGGTCACTCTCACCCCTGAGCAGGCCCAGGCGCTTGGGGTCTCTCTCGCCCCTCAGCAGGCCCAGGCGCTTGGGGTCACGGTCACCCCTCAGCAGGCCCAAGCACTTGGGGTCACGCTCACCCCTCAACAGGCCCAGGCTCTTGGGGTCACTCTCACCCCTGAGCAGGCCCAGGCGCTTGGGGTCACTTTCACCCCTGAGCAGGCCCAGGTGCTTGGGGTCTCTCTCACCCCTCAGCAGGCCCAGGCGCTTGGGGTCATGGTCACCCCTCCGCAGGCCCAAGCACTGGGGGTCACGGTCACCCCTCAACAGGCCCCGACCCTTGGGGTCATTCTCACTCCTCAACAGGCCCAGGCATTTGGAGTCAATGTCACCCCTGAGCAGGCCCAGGCGCTTGGCGTCTCTCTCACCCCTCAGCAAGCCCAGGTGCTTGGGGTCACGGTCACCCCTCAACAGGCCCAGGCGCTTGGGGTCTCTCTCACCCCTCAGCAGGCTCAGGCGCTTGGGGTCTCTCTCACCCCTCAGCAGGCCCAGGCGCTTGGGGTCACTCCCACCCCTCAGCAGGCCCAGGCGCTTGGGGTCACTCCCACCCCTCAGCAGGCCCAGGCGCTTGGGGTCACGGTCACCCCTCAGCAGGCCCAGGTGCTTGGGGTCACTCTCACCCCTGAGCAGGCCCAGGCTCTTGGGGTCACTCTCACCCCTGAGCAGGCCCAGGCTCTTGGGGTCACTCTCACCCCTGAGCAGGCCCAGGCGCTTGGGGTCACTCTCACCCCTGAGCAGGCCCAGGCGCTTGGGGTCACTCTCACCCCTCAGCAGGCCCAGGCACCGGGGGTCACAGTCACCCCTCAGCAGGCCCAGGCACTGGGGGTCACAGTCACGCCTCAGCAGGCCCAGGTGCTTGGAGTCACGGTCACCTCTCAGCAGGCCCAGGCACTGGGGGTCACGGTCACCTCTCAGCAAGCCCAGGAATTGGGGGTCACGGTCACCCCTCAACAAGCCCAGGCTATGGTCACTGTCACCCCTCTGCAGGCCCAGGAACTGGGGGGCACGGTCACCCCTCCACAGGCCCAGGGACCTGGGGTCTCTTTTACCCCTGACCAGGCCCAGGCACAAGGGATCACTCTCACACCTCAGCAGCCCCAGGCACTGGGGGTCACTGTCACCCCCAAACAGGCCCAGGCACTTGGGGCCACTGTCGCCCCTGAACAGGCCCAGGCACAAATGATCACTCTCACACCTGAACAGGCACTTGGAGTCACAGCCACACCTGAACAGGCCCAGGCACTTGGGGTCACTGTTACCCCTGAACAGGCCCAGGTGTTGGGCATCACTCTCACCCCTCAGCAGGCCCAGGGCATCACTCTTACCCCTGAGCAATTCAAGGCATTGGAGGTTACCCTCACTCCTGAAAAGTCCCAGGGTTTGGGAATCACTCTCACACTTGAACAAGCCCAAGCATTGAGGGCTCCTCTCATTCAACAAGACTGGACATTGAGGGCCCCTATTGCCCCGAAACAGGGCCACACTCTAAAGGAATCTGTCACTTCAGAACAGAGACAGGCAATGCAGATCCCTCTAACTACTCAACAGGCCCAGGTATTTGGTGTCCCTATCACTCAAGCACTGGACAAGGCATTGGGAGTCACTACCACACCGCAGCAGACAGAGGCATTGCAGGACCTTCTTCTGGAACAGGCACAGACACCAGTGTTCACTCTTACTCCGGAGAAAGCGCAGGTTTGGGGTATCACACACACCCATGAACAAACCCAGGAAGTGGGTATCACCCTCATGCCCAAGGAGGAACAAGCATTGGGGGTCCCACTTACCCCTGACCAGGCACAGGCATTAGAGACCCCTCTCACTGCAGAACAGGCCTGGAAATTGGAGGTCTCTATTACTCCAGAAATGGTTCAGGAAGTATCAAACACTCTTTCTCTTAAGCAGAACCAAGCATTGGGGGTCACTCCTTCCCATGAACAGGCTCAGTCATTCGGCCCTCCTTCCACTCTGAATCAGGCCCAGGCATTGGGAGTTCCCATTATCTCCCAAAATGCCTGGGTATCAGCTGTCACTCTTAGCCCTGAACAGGCAGAGTCTTTGGGGCCCCCCCTCACCTCGGATAAAGCCCATGTTTTAGGATACTGCCTTACTCCTGAGCAAGTCCAACTTTTGGGACCCCCCTTCACCCCAGGACAGGCCCAGCCCATAGGTATTACTCATATGTCTAAGCAGGACCGAAAATCGAGCGCTCGTCCCATTAATGAGCAGCATTCACAACACTGGGCTGGTCCTTCTTCAGGACATTCCCTGGAAGTAGGGACCTTTTCTATTACTGATAAATCCATCAAACCAAGTGCTCCTCACATTCCTAAGCAGACCCCCATATTGGCTCCTTCCATTCTTAGACCATTTCAAGAATCAAAGACTTCTCTCCCTTCTAGGCAATCCATTACATCAAGAACTAGGCAGTCCCTAGCATCATCTGCTCCCATTGCTGAGAAGTCCTCTATATTTGAGGTCTCTTCTACTCCTTTGCAGATATCAAGTTCTCCTCTTACCCAAGCCCTCTTTGTCTCTGGGAAATCCCTAGGAAAGGGGATTCCTTCTGACCCTGGGAAGCTCCTGGCACCACAGGCTTTTCCTTCCTCTAGACAGACACTGGTTCCTAAGGGTCAGTCCACCTCTGTTCAGTTCCTAGCACCAGAGGTCTCCCCCACCGTTGGGAAGCTCCCAATATCAGGGGCCCCTCCAACTCTAGGGCAGCCCATTACACTGGATTCTCTTCATAGCTCTAGGCAGTTCCTCAAAACTAGGGACTCTAAGGCCCCCCAGTCACCTCTTGCCCCCAGACAGCCCCTCATATCTGGAGTTCCACCCACCTCCTCACAGATTCCCAGTCTCTGGGCTCCTCTCTCTCCTCAATCATCTTTGGTACCTGGGGCCTCTCCTATACCTGGGGAGCTCAAGGAATCTGGACCCTTAACCCTCTCTGAGCAGTGCCAGGCATTTCATCTCCCTGCCACCTGTGAGCAATCTCCCTGTCTACAAGCCCCTTCTGTTCTTGGGCAGCATCTGGCACCATGGACCCTCCCTAGGCAAGCTTCTCCTCTATGGATCTCTCCCACTCCTGGGCATCGTCCAACACTATGGGCTCCCTCCATCCCTGGAAAGCCCCAGAAAGATTTATCCTCTTTTGTCTCAAAGAAAAGTCAAGAAAGATTGGCAATTATTTCTTCTCTGAAATCTAAATCGGCATTGGTCCGTCCCAGTGCTCCAAATTTCAAAGTACCTCAAGCCCCTTTCACCACTAAGAAGTTCCAAATGTCAGAGGTCTCTGATACTCCTGAAGAAATCCAGAGACTCCGCGATCCTTTTGCCATGGAACAGTTTATGACATTTCAGCCCTATCTCACCAATTATAGGACGCCAGTATCACAAACCCCTTATATTAATGAGGGGGCCCTTCCAACTCACATGGAGCCTATAACATCATTACCTTCTCTTACTACTCAACTACCCAAAACATCACAGATTTCACATTCTGAATGGGACTGGAAATCCCGATTCCCTCCTATAAGCAAGCCCTGCATAATGACTCCAGTTTCAGGCACCAAGAAACCCAAGATGATGGCACCCCCTTCCTCTCCCCAAGAGCTCAAAGAACAGCGGTATTTTGTTGATGTGGAGGCTCAGAGGAAGAACCTAATACTATTAAATCAGCCTACAAAAACTTCTGGACTCCTTTCAGAGCTACACACAACAGCTAGGAATCTTGTAATTGAGACACTTCATACGGACACAGTTCGGCTGGGATACCTATTTCGCAAGTATATTGCCTACAGGCTGATACAGCATGCAAGGTAGGTATAACTATTACATGTCCAGATTTCTAGTTGTCCTGATTTCAAATATACTCCCTCAATGCCCTATAAGTATGTACATATTTGTCAGATCAGATGTTCTACAGATTCTCTTATGGAAGGTTTATGGGATGGAAGCCTATTTAAGCTAGCAAAAGGAGTTATTTTTCAGAAAACAGGAAGTATTATATAACAATCAATTTATATATATTGTTACAATCAATTTATTTATATATGTATATGTTACACATATACAGAGATGGTAAGATAAATTTTGTGGATCATGACTGATCTCCAAAATACCAACTTCAAAAGTTTAGAGATGCTTCTAGTTATTCTCAATTTCTTACATCATTTTGGGCTCACCAGAAGATGTATGATTCTTAAAACAGGAGATGGCAGTTTATGTACAAGGCATTGCCATATCAACTTGACTGCTGGAGTGACCAGAAAGAAACAGGTCCTCATCCTGATTTTTAAAAATTGCAAATATCAGTCCTGGCTGGTATGGTTCAGTTGGTTGGAAACTCGTCCCATACACTGAAAGGTCACTGGTTCGATTCCCAGTCAGGGCATGTACCTGGGTTGTGGGTTCAATTCCTGGTCAGTGCACATACAAGAGGTAACCAATTGATGTTCCTTTCTTGCATTGATGTCTACCTCTCCCAGTCTCTCTCTTTCTCTCCCCATTCTCCCTCCCTAAGAATCAGTGAACATGTCCTCAAATGAGAATTAAAATTAAAAAATAATAAATAATTGAAGTTGCAATGATCACAAATAGGTCAGGGAAAGTAACAACTGACCTGCCATCCTTAGCATTTGTGTTTTGAGGTTGCCAACGTACTTTTTGGGGGAAAGTTTTAAAGTTGAAATCACAAAAAACAAGCTAAAACCTATAATAGAAAAGGTTATTTATTAATTATTAGAGCAACTATGTTATTTATTAAACACATATTTACTGTAATGCTTAGTATGTACCAACATTGTTTTAGGTTCTAGGGATATAGCAGTGAAATAAAACAAAGTTCCCTAGCCTCACACTTCTGAGGACAGAATTCATTTGTTAACTAAGGATTGAAACAACAAGGAGGAAAAGAAAGACTTATTCCAGATATAACCAGGAGTTTTAATTTCGAAGCTTAAATAATCTTATATTTGTTGGAAACTGTTTTACTCTATATCTGTCTTCAGTTTTCTCTTTCTAAACTGAATGGTCCTATTTTTTGCTATTTGTTTTTACAGTTTAGCACTTTTATCCACTTGAGATTTTTAAATAGCATGTTCCTAGTCATTCTCCAGTTCTCTAATTTTTTTCCCTTTGTTATATTTAAATTTAAAAAATAAATATTACCTGGTATAATATTTTAAAAGTGCAAATGGTAGAGTGAAAAAGTCTCCCTAATAGTCCTATCCTTAGCCATTAGGCCTCTACCTCAGGGCCGTTAATGTATGTCCATTCAGAAACATTTTCTGCATTTGTAGAAAAGTGCATATGCTCTTTTATCCTCCTTTTTACATATTTTAAAGTTACAAGGTTTGATTTTTTTCATAACTTAACTTAGATATTAAGTATTAGGTAATTTGGGTATTAGTATATAAAGAGCCCACTCATTCATTTTATAACTACATAGTATTCAAAGTCTGGATTTACCATAATTTATTTAACCTCTGATTGATATTTCTGTTTTCAACATTTTGCATTATAAAACTGTACAACTATGAACAATCTTGTTCACACTCACATATACTTACGTATATTCCTAGAGGTAGAATTTCTGGATCAAAGGGTGAATGTTTTGTAATTGTGATAGAACTTTACAAATTGTTTCCCAAAGAGGTTTTAACAATTGGCATATTGGTCAACATTATAAAACAGTATTTCCTCACATCAAGACTAGCATGAATTATTATCAAATTTTTTTGTCTATTGCCGATAGATAAAATATAGCATTTTGCTGATTTAATTGTCATTACTTTTATTATGGGTGAGGTTAAACATCTTTTCCTAGACTTCAGAGCCATCTGTATTTTATTTTCTGTGAAGACACTATTAAAATATTTTGCCCATTTTTCACTTGGGTTGCAACTTGCTTTTTAAAATTGATTTGGGGGGTCTGTTAAAACATTTGAAAAATTAGCCCCTTGTCTGTGATATAAATTGCCAAATTTCCTCTACTTATCTGTGTCTTAACTCTGCTTGTGGTGGTTTTTGCTTTGTAAAAAATTTTGATTTTAAAAATTCCATCTAGGTCTATTTTAGCACTTTCATTGTTGGTTATCAGTTGTTGTTTTTTTTATGATACTGCATCTTTGTTGTAGTCATTATAGTGTTTGCCTGTACTTATCAGTAAGATGTGAGCAGAATTTGACGTGCGTCATTTTTATGCTGAGCTGGTCATTATCTGTTTGAGATGGTCCAACATTTCCTTTTCCTCTAGCATGATAACCTACAATGTTTAAGGTGATGGCTGTTCTGTTAGCCTGTGTTCCTGAAAGTATATAATGAAGGTCTCCTTGCTGAACCCTGATGGATTTACAGTACGAGCAGCAAGTAAATTTTATTTTTAGCTGCTAAGATTTGGGGGTTATTTGTTAAAGCAGCAAAATCTAGCTTATTTTCACTAACGCACTCTTCCTTTCCAAGAATATGGTTTACCTTTCTTTTGGTTCAGGGTATATGCGTGTCCTTCAGGAGCATCTTAACGTTTTCAAATAGTTCTTGTATATTCTTCCATAAGTGTATATCCTGGTAGTTTTTATTTTCATTGTTACTATTGTAAATGGGCATTATTTGTATAATGAAGACTAGATATCTCTGTATCAACTTTGTATGCAGCCATCTTACTGTAGTCAAGCATGTGAAAATTTTTCAATTGATATTCTTAAGTTCTCCAGGTATGTAATCATATTACCTGCAAATAACATTTTTTTACATTTAGAGTTTCCAACTTTTAAACATCTAATTTCTGTCTCCTGAATTGGTTTGTACCTCCAGAACTCTGTTAAAAAATATTGGTGATATGGCTACAAGATCACCTTTATTCATTTGACTGCCCTGAGTAACAGCTGCGAGTGCGTTCCATGGCCTCATGAATTTTTTTCTAAGAAAAGTTCATATGCAAATGTTTTTAAAGGATCATTTACACTGATGCTCTACTTTCTGAAAAAGTTTCAAAATGCACTTAACTTTAGTCAATTTTTTTTTTGTTATTTTCTCCACTCTTGTGTAATTCAGGTTGCCAAAATATGTCCTTCTTTCATTGTTGCATGTTAAAAAAATAAGAATAGACACCACAAAATCAGGAAGTCAAGACAGATCAATTTAAGGAACAGAAGCAAAAAAGGAGAGTGTCACAAATAATGAGAAGACAAAGAAACACACCCCAGCTGAAGGGAAAGGAGGAATTCCCAGAAAGAGAACTAAATGAAATAGAGGCAAGGAAACTATCAGATATTGAGTTCAAAACAATGATTCTAAGGAAGCTCAGTAAGCTCAGTGAGCTCAGAGAGAATTACCAAAAACTACATGGAAACTATGAGGAACTTACTGCAAACTATATCAGCATGAAAAAGGACATAGGAACTATCAACAAGAGGCTAGAAGAAATGAAGAATACAATTTCTGAATTGAAGAACACAGTAGAAGGAATCAGAAGCAGGCTAGATGAAGCAGAGGATCAAATTACTGAGCTGGAGGACAAGGTAGAAAAAAGCTCTCAGAAAGAGCAAGAATATGAAAAAAGACTCAAAAAGAATGAAGAGGCTTTTAAGGAAATGCAGGAGAACCTGAAACATATTAATATCCATTAATAGGGATAGCCTAAGGAGAAGAAGAGGAGCAAGGGATAGAGAATCTGTTGGAAAAAGTAATGATGGAAAACTTCCCTAATTGGAGGAGAGAAAAAGTCACACAAGTCCAGGAAGCACAGAGGGTCCCATTCAAGAGGAACCCAATGAGGCCCACTCCAAGTCACATCATCCTTAAACTGGCAAATATCAAAGACAAAGAGAGAGCCCTAAAGGCAGCAAGGGAGAAACAGGTAACATACAAGGGAGCACTGATACCGGCTAGCAGCTGACTGCTCAACAGAAACACTGCAAGCCAGAAGGGAATGGCAAGAAATATTCCAAGTAATGATAAGCAAAGGCCTGCAACCAAGACTACTCTACCCAGCAAGGCTCTCAATTAAAGTGGAAAGAGAAATAAGGAGTTTCCCAGACAAAAGAATGCTAAAAGAATACACCTCCACCAAACCAGCACTGCAAAATATGCTAAAGGGACTGCTTTAAGTAGATGAAGAAAAAGAGTGAGAGAGGGAAGAACACAGGTACAAAGGGAAAAAGATGAATAAGTACCTATCAGTAACAGCTTTAAATGTGAATGGATTAAATGCCCCAATCCAAAGACATAGGATAGTTGAATGGATAAGAAAACATGACCCATACATATGCTGCCTACAAGAGACCCACCTCAGAACAAAGGACCTTCACAGACTAAAAGTAGAGGGATGGATGGAAAAAAATATTCCAAGCAAATGGACAGGAAAAAAAAAGCAGGGGTAAAAAAAAAATTAAATTGGTTTAAAAAGATAGGGGTGACAGTGAATATCTTCTTAGTACTTGTAAGAAAAATACTGGCTTTTGGGTTGAAGTACAATTTATCATAGTAAAGTATCCATTTGCTCCTGTTTCATTATGGTTTTTAAAAATCAAGAATGGGCCCTGGCCAGTGTGGCTCAGTTGGTTGGAGCGTTGTCCTGTAAACTGAAAGGTCGCCCGTCAGGGCACATGCCTATGTTGAGGGTTCAGTCCCCAGCTGGGGTGTGTATGAGAGGCAACTGACTGATGTTTCTCCCTCACATTGATGTTTCTGTGTCTCTTTTCTCCTCTTTCTAAAATTGATGAGCATGTCCTCGGGTGAGGGTAAAAAAAAAAGTCAAGAATGGATGTTGAATTGTTAAATCTATTAAATCACATTTTGTTAAATGTGATTTTGGCACATCATTTTTATGTGTATTAAAGAAAATAAATATTTTCTCTTCAGATCTATTAATATAATCAATTATATTAAACCATCGTTGCATTCTTGGAATAAATTCTATTCGTTTTTGGTGTATTCCTCTGTGAATGTATTAGGGAATTTGTTTCCTAATATTTTATTTATGGTTTTTCTTCTGCATTGATATTAATTAGTAAGTTTGATTGATGGCTTCTTCTTTTGGTGCCTTGTCAGTTTTTGGTATAATTTTAAGCTTCTTTCATTAAAAAATATGAAAACTTATCTTTTTCTATACTCAGGAGTTTAATAGTAAAATTAGCTGTTCAGTTAAGGTTTGGCAGATTTCATTTATGATATTATATAGGCTTGGTACTTTTCGAGGGAAATTCTTAGACAACTTTCTCAATTTTTATATGGCAATTGGTTTGTTTGGATTTATTGGAGATTTTGAAGACCTAAGTGATATGATCTGACCTGCTTTAGTAAAATCACTTAAAAGTTGAAATATATGGATCAACATTTTGAAACAACATTCAGTTTAGACAATTGTAATTTAATCCCATCAAATTTTTTTTTTCAGAAAGCTCTTCTTTAATATTTAATGTGATAATCAAATCACTAACAGGTGTAACAGAAACAAAATACTGATAGATTAAAGATTCCATTACAAGGATAGCTAGGCCAAGAAGATTTTAACATTATATGGAAGAGAAAATATGAAGAATAATAATATTACTATTTTTGAATAATATTAGAGATGGTTATAAGAATGCTACCCACTTGCTTCATTGAGAACAATGTTATTTATGGGAATGGGTGTGATAGGCATTCTGTAATACATGTGGAGAACTGATTAAAAACATATGCAATAAATATGGTTATAAGAATGACAAAAATAAAAACAAAAATCACCTAAAGGATAAGGAAAAAATCCAAGGCTATTGAAAAATTAATTAAAATATACTAAATTAATTCAGAAGTTGATAAATTTAAGTATTAAATGATCCGTATATATACATTGGGTCCTAAGCTATTCATTACATAACCCATAAAAGAGAACTAAGAGTTATTTCCTCTATGTGTGTATATATATATGTAAAATACATATATTCAGAAAAATATCTTCAATGGGTTCCCATTGCCATCAGCCACCCCCCAAAAATCCGAACTCCTTAATATGCCTTTTAAGGCCTTTCATAATCCAGCCATTCCAGTCTCCTCCCCCACTACATCCTTTCAAATATCCATGGCCTAAGAGTCCTAGACTACTCACCATTCCCAAAATATAACTTTCATCCTCTTACATTTGTATATAGTATTCCCTCAACCTGGAATTTCTCATCCCCTTCTTCCCAAACTTAAGATTTACCTGAGATTCTGTTTAAAATACAGATCCTGAAGCCTACCACTAAGATACTGATTCAAAAGTTCTGGGGAAGCACCTTGGAATCTGTATTTTCAACAAGCAACTTCCCTACCCCTACACTTTGAGAAATATTGGTATTGTGAGAAAGGAGATCTGATTTGTCCCCAAATATGCTATTTATTATGTGACTTTATTTTTATTATTATTATTTTTTCTATGTGACTAGAAAATCATTTAACTTTACTCAGATACCTTTTCCTCTCCTGGAGTATGTGGATGGTAAAACACTATCTGTTTAGGAGACCTAAAGATAGTGGCTTACATTATAGAAAGTGGGGGGGGAGAGAGAGAGAGCGAGAGAGAGAGAACATTTCTATGATTATTCCGCAAGATCCTGTTCAATCACTTCCTATAAAGCCGTTTTTATTCCTCTTACTAGAATTAATTATGCATTCCTTTTTGCTTGAACAGCATGTTCACATTTCTATTTAGCATTTACTTCATTCTCTCTTTGACATAGTTAATTTATTAGTCTCCTATTCTGGCTTGTAAGTGCTTCAAAGACAAGGACACCTTTTTTTTTTTTCAGTAATTGCATTCTGTGCTGCCCTGGTTGGTGTGCCTCAGTGGGTTGAGCACCAGCCTGTGAAACCAAAGGTCACTGGTTCACTTCCCAGTCAGGGCACATGGTTGAGTTGCAGGCCAGCTCCCTGGATGGGCGCATGCAAGAGGCAACTGATCAATGTTTCTCTCGCACATCGATGTTTCTCTCCCTTTCTTTCTCTCTCCCTCCCCCCTCTCTAAAAAATAAATAAAATCTTAAAAAAATTTTATTATGCACCTTCTGTATGTCTCGTACATATCAATATTAAAATTTCAATGTATTAAAATGATAATAATCAACATTATTATAACATTAAACTGTAAAGAGTTAATGAAAATTTGACAGTCAGATTTTTGAAAGTTTAATAATATATGGAGCTAGATTAAGGTCTCATTAAGCAAGCCTTGCACTCCTATTCCATCCTTCTCTACTTACCAAGGGTGAGATGAGAATTGAAGTAATGAGGCCAGGTTTGTTAAGGTCAGCAGTTATATCAATCTAATTCTTGTTATTTTTTTCAAGAAACAACATAATCAAACAATTACAAGCCATCCAAAACAGTGGGAAAGGTTATGAAAGCCAGTACCTCTACATAATACTGAGCAGAATTGATAATTACCAGAAAAAGGTGATGGGGTCCTGGACCGAGAAGCAGAAGTCTCTAGAGCAGAAACGGAATCAGTGTCTAAGGAAGATGATGTCCTTATTTTGCCAGGTAACCTGTTTTATATTCCCTCTCGCCAGGGTGCTATAAGAAAAATGAAAGTGGCGAGCTTTGAAAACAGCATTTATCTGGAGATACCATGCATATTGGTTTCCTATAGCTGCTGTCACAAACTTAATGGCTTAACACAACAGAAATGTATTCTCTTACATTTTCGGAGGCCAGTTTGTGAAATCAAGATGGAGTTGGTTTCTTTTGGAGGCTCTGGGGGAAAAAATACTATATTCCATGTCTCTCTCCTAGATTCTGGTGACTGTCGACAATCCTTGGCGTTCATTGGCTTATAGCTGCATAACTCCAGTCTCTGCATCTGTCTTTCTCCCAGTCTGTCTATGTCATCACTTCTGAATGTTACAGAGTCATGTGTCATGGATATAGGACCCACCTGGTTAATCCAGAATGATCTCATCTTAAGAACCCTAGTTACATCTGTAGACTCTTTTTCTATGTAACGTCACATTCACAGGTTCTGGGTGAACATATTTGCTGGGGGGGTTCACCGTTCAACCCACTTCAGTGAAACTCCTGAACTGATGATGGGAATACTGTCTGGACTCTATAGAGGAGAAAAGATTAGAATAGGAGAGACTTCCAGAAATGTTCAATTCCTTCCTAGTCATCCCACATCTACCAGCCTCTAAATATGAAACGTCTTGAAGTTACTACTCTCCAACTGATTCATGGTGCTTACTTCTCTCCTCACAACTATCAGAAAGCAAGTTTTAATATGGTGAGTACAAGACAGGAGATAAAGATTTATTTGACGCAAATATAGCACCAGGCACAGAAGATCGTGTCAAGCTCTGACAATCTGCATCTTATGTCCCAAAGTCCCCTCTGAGATGACCTTTAAAAAATTATAAAGGTGAGATTAGTGTTCTTTGCTCTGGGATTACATGTTCCCATTACATCGCACAGAGTTCTGGAACATTCTTGGAGTTCTAGGAACATAGAGTTCTGGAACATTCTTGGAGTTCTAGGAACATTTTATATCTATCTTTTTCTTTCACTAAAATCATTAATAACAAGAGTGGTTTACTTGCTACTTTAGAAGGTACAGAGACTTCTCATTATAGCCTGATTCAAATCGGACATACTCTGAATTTTCCAGAAGAGCTACATTTTAAATATTAAAGCTCTTTGACAAAAAGGATATTTTTGACAGCTTTTGGTTTGGAAACTATGGCCAATATAAGTGTAAAAGAAGAGGAGTTGTGTGTCATGAGCTGTCTAATAGGAATCACAATGTCTAGGGCATTTCAGAGAATGATGGGTCTGGAGTCCAGGCAGCTTTAATTTGGATGATAAGGTGGGTATCAAGGCGTAAAAAAGGGAGAGGAAAAAGCAAAAGGGAGAAGAGGGTAGAAATGATATAAATACCTTACATTAGCTCAGGGTGGTGATGGTCAAGAGGTTGGTTCTGCTACCAGTTGTCTGGGTTCAAATCAGCTCCACTACATGCTAAGTAAGAGACCTTGGGCAAGCCACTTACATTTTCTGAGTTCCAGATCCCCATATATAAGACAAGGATAATAATAGTACCCATCTCATAAGGTTGTTGTAAATACCAAATGAATTATTATATAGAAAACATCTGACATTTACTAAGTGCTCAGTAAATGTTAGCTATCATTACATTTGCTTAGTGCTTCACAATTTATGAAGTGCTCCATATATATTATCTTACACAACTCTCACAACAAGCCTGTGTTATTATCCTTATCTTAGAAATAAGGAGAAAGAGGTAAAGATAAAATTAGCAACTAGCTCAAAGTCACAGCTACAAAAGGACTAGGATCAGAGCTTATGCAGGACCAAGGTTTATATATATCATAGCTGCCACCTGTGAAATTGTGTGTTGGAGGTGAAGTAGAGATTGAGGAGTGATTGGAGAAGTGGAGAAAGAGAATGGAAAAGAAGATCTGCAAATCCGTGATAAAAGAAGAGTCACAGTTTAGCTCAGAAAACCTTCTTAAAGACTAAAGCCCTTTCTTTCCATTGCTTCCTTTTAAATTTATTTTTAGCTCCAAGAGATGCATAAATTGAATCTTAGTCAACCTGTACCACTGATCATCGACAGAAAGCAGATACCTGCCCCTACCAAATCTCTTCAACAGCCATTCCTAGAGCTACTAACAGAAAAGGACAGAAAATCTGACATATTCAAGAAACTGAGGTATGTGGTAGGAAAGACTGACATTAACCTTTCTTTGGATGATATGTGGAACCTAGTTTTTTTTTTTCTGCACAAAATCTATCCTTCCCCCACAATTATAATATGGTACGGTGGAGCGTCTAAGGATTATTAATTTTCTTAACTAATTTAGCAAGAGACTTATTTACATATATTTCTTTTTTAAAAACTTATTTATTTATTTAATAGAGAGAGGGGAAAGAGGGAGAAAGGGAGATAAACAACAATGTGTGGTTGCCTCTCTCGCACCCGCTACTGGGGACCTGGCCTGCAACTCAGGCATGTGCCCTGACTGGGAATCAAACCAGTTACCCTTTGGTTTGCAGGCCGGCACTCAATCCACTGAGCTATACATCCAGGGCTTATTCATATATATTTCTACTTAAATATTTGACATCAGACTTTGATTTCCTTTTAAAAAATGAAGCTGATTCTTCCTTACTAAGCAATAAATTCCTTACTAACAAGTTAATACACAATGAAAATACTTAGGAGTATTACTTAAAAAAAAAAGAAGGAGGAGGGGGAGGAGGTAGGGGCTTTGGGAAAAAAGGGGAAAAAGATTGTCGCTGGGAAAAAAAAATAGCCTGGATATTGTCTGTATACTCCAGGCAGCTAAGAAGACAGTTTTAAAATGGATCACTAGGTGAATTCATGGAAATGCAGCTTTTGGGTGGAGGAGAGCTATTTCAGCAAATTCTACTGTTTTAATTCCTTCCTCAGTCAAAGAGGGCATGGCTAATGTTTCTCAGTGTGAGGGACGGCATTATAAGACAGGGTGGTCGTGGTGAAGAAAAGAGGGGAGAGTAAGAATCATGTATTTTATTTGGCAATGGAGTGTGAGAGATTTAGGTGATTCCAATTAGTGCTCTCTGACTCTCTAGACAGGAAGATCAGATGGAAGCCATCTGGAATGCTGATCAGTCGACTTCAAGCTACCCAATAACTGAGAAGACATCAATACATTCACTGTGGGCCCAGCTGGGTGGGTACCCAGCTATTCCTATGCTGCTCCAGTTAGATGTTCAGTCTACCTTCAGAAAATCTCTTCAATCCATTCAGTCAAAGTAAGTTAAGGACTGAGAGCACTCTGATAATTGGGCCTTTGGTCATATACCTTTTGTTTTTCCTAACTTGACTTTCCCGTGCAGCGCCAGTATTCGTCATTTAGTGCTTCTCTCCAGAGGCCTGCAGATGTCACTCTGGAATAATATAAAATTAACAAAGAAACCAGTTATAATGCCACGAAATCTAATCTAACATTAGATCAGTCCACTTTGAATTCCACCCTTTATTACTGGAAGCACCAGAAAGGCCATAGCAGAATGCTTTTGTCCACCTTATATTCAGTAACATACCCGAAATGCAGTTGTCACAGCTGGGCCTTATTTGAAGTAAATTAAGTGCTTATATCCCCAGGATGCACCGAAGAGACTTAGGGTGGGTGACATGGATCCACATTTCCAAATTCTGTTAAACCAGATTCTCACTTAAAACCACTGGAAATCATTCCAGTGGAAATGAAGAGTTTTGGAGTCTACATTACTCCTTTCAGAACAAAGAATCATTTAATGTTCCAAACTAAGAATTTAGAAAATTGAGCTCTTGTAACCTGAAAGAGTTTACAGGAGCAATATGATTTATCTTGGTAAAATCCAAGTCCTGAGCTAAAGAGTGTTAACTCACAAATTTGTTTAGGTGGCAGATAGCATAAAATAAGACATTAAAAATTCTATAATACAGTATAATAATAGCAAAAATATTACTATATAATTTATAAAATATAGAATCATATACCATGAGCACAAGTGTTCATGAAATAAATTTATCAAACCAAATGTAACCATTACGTTGAATAAGCATGACTTGGAAGTTATAGGTTACAATCAGAAAGCAACTTTATTTATTCTTTCTTTTGCAATTTCTTTTTTTAAGTGTATTTATTGATTGCACTATTACAGTTGTCCCATTTTTTTTCTCCCCTTTATCCCCCTTCACCCTGCACCCCGCTTCCCCACTCCTGAGTTCACATCCATGGGTTGTACATATAAGTTCTTTGGTTTCTCCATTTCCTGTACTACTCTTAACCTCCCCCTGACTATTTTGTGCCTACTATTTATGCTGCTTTTTCCCTGTACCTTTTCCCCCATTCTCCTCTCTCCTCCTCCCCGTTGATAACCCTCCATGTGATCTCCATTTCTGTGATCCTGTTCCTGTTCTAGTTGTTTGCATAGTTTGTTTTGTTTTTTAGGTTCAATTGTTGATAGTTGTGAGTTGTTGTCATTTTACTGTTCATAGTTTTGATCTTCTTTTTCTTAGATAAGTCCCTTTAACATTTCATATAATACTGGCTTGGCGATGATGAACTCCTCTAACTTTACCATGTCTGGGAAACACTTTATCTGCCCTTCCAGTCTAAATGATAGCTTTGCTGGATAGAGTAATCTTGGATGTAGGTCTTTGCCTTCCATAACTTTACTCCTTTCCAGCCCCTTTTTGCCTGAAGTGTTTCTTTTGAGAAATCTGCTGATAGTCTTATGGGAATTCCTTTGTTGCTATTATTTTGAACAAACTGTTATCTTTTAGACTAATTAAGAATAAGAAAAATATAACTTTTTATTATACACTTATTTCTTCATTTATTTCATTTCCAGTGCTCTTTCTATCTTTATGTAGATCTGAATTTCTGATCTATGTAACTTTCCTTTTCGCCAAAGGACCTTTTAACATTTCTTGCAAGATATGTCTACTGGCTACAAATTTCCTCAATTTCTATTTTTGTAAAAAAATTTTATTGCTCCTTTACTTTTTAAAGATAATTTTACAGCATACGGAATTCTAAGTTGGTAGTTTTTCTCTCAACACTTTAAATACTATATTCCACTCTCTTACTTGCATGATTTCCAAAGTTGAATGTGATTCTTACCTTTGCTCCTCTGTAGATAAGGTGTTTTTCCCCCTCTGGTTTCAAGATTTTTTTCTTTTTGATTTTTCTGAAGTTTGAATATGATATGCCTAAGTGTGTTTTGTGGGGCATTTCTCCTGCCGATCCTGGTGTTCTCTAAGTTTCTTGGTTCTGTGTCTGACTTCATTTTGGAGAAATTCTGTCATTATTGCTTCAAATATTGCTTTGTTCCTTTCTTTCTTCTCCTTCTAGTGTTCCCATTACACATATGTTACACCTTTTGTAGTTATACTGCAGGTATTGGGTATTTGGGACAGGGGGAGGGTCAGTATTTTTTTCTTTTTTCACTTTTCACTTTTGAAAGTTTCTATTTTCATATCCTCAAGCTCAGAAACCAGGCCATCAATGGCATTCTTCATTTCTGTTAGTCTTGTTGATCTCCAGCATTTCTTTTTGATTTTTTTCTTAGAATATGTATCTCCCTGTTTACATTACCCATCTGTTCCGGAATGCTGCTTTTTCCATCAAGGTCCTTAGCATCTCTATTACAGCTGTTTTAAATTCCCAGTCTAATAATTCCAACATCCCTACCATATCTGACCCTGGTTCTTCTGATACTTATTCAGTCTCTTCAAACTGTGATTTTTGTTAAAATCAGAACATGATGTACTAGGTGAAAGGAACTCTGGAGAACAGAATTTTAGTGGTATTGTGGTAAGGTATGGGGGAAGGAGAAGCATTTTATAGTCCTGTTATTAGGTCTTAGTTTTTTGGAAAGCTTCTGGACTGTGAACTTGACCAGTGCTTCTCATTACCTGCTGCCACAACGCCCGATGCCTTAGGTGAGAGAGATGGCTAAAGGGAGCCGGAATTGGGTATTTCCCTTCTACCATGTGGAAGGCTGGAGCCAAATGGGGTTGGGTGTTTGCGTCCCCCAAGTAGGTTAGCCCCTGATAAAACCCTCGCAGGTTAGGCTCTGGTAAAATAGTTACCCTTGAGAGCCGACTTTGTTAAAAAGAGCAAATGCTCTGGTGTACTTCAAAATAGTTACTTGACACAAGAGATTTTTCTCTGATCTTCACTGTGAGGACCTGGTAGAGTTTTTGGAGGTCCCTTTTGCTGGGCCTCCTTGGAGTTTTTAACTCTCAGATTTGTCCATACTGAGCCTCCAGCAATTTATCAAATACAGTTTAGGTTTCCTACCAGGCACTGGATCCTATAGAAGTTTCTGCTCAAGGGTTTCTGTTCCAGTAAGTTGGGACTGTCTGTATCACCTGTCTGTCTGTCTCTCCAATCTTGGGGGCAATGGTTTGCCCTGTGACCTCCCTTCTCCAAAGAATCTAAAAAGAGTTGTTGGTTTTTCAGATTGTTCAACTTTTCACTTGTTAGGATGAAGCAGCAACTCCTTCCACATATTTTTCAAAAGATTTCTGTGCACTTACTTTTTGATTGCAAAAAGGGGCTCATATTAGACATATTTTTTAACCTGCTTTGTGTTCCTATGTTCATATAGACTTACATCATCATTTTTATTGGTTGTATGATATTCATTGTATAGATCTATCATATTTTATTGAACTGCTCTACTGATAAAAGTTTGAATATTTTTCAACATTACAAACCATACTATAGCAAATATCCTTGTACAAGTTTATGTACTTATGATAGTTTATGTACAAAAATTCTATTGAAATAATATTTACTATTTTTCCAATTGCAAAAGTAGTGCCTGTTCATTATGAAAATTTAAAAAATACTGACAAGTTCATACCCAGAATTAACCTTTGTCAATACAGGGTGGAGCAAAAGTAAGTTTACAGCAGTGAGTGTGCAAAACACAGAGCTTATTCTTGTATTATTATTTATTAATTATTTATCACTTTCCATGCAAACAACTTTAAACCTACTTTTGCCCAGCCCTTTACTTAGGTCATTCTAACTGTAGGTATAAGAATACTATCTAATAAATGATGAACTATTGCCAAGCCCTGCTCTTCCTGGTTTTTGTCCTGAGAGACATTCTGCCTTGTTAATGTGACTTATAAATGGGGAGAACATGTCAATTTTACTAGTGCAACTTTGTGAGTTCTGGAGGCACTCTTATTTTCCCAGTGAATCATCTATATTCTCACAAATGTGTTTAAGAAAAACTTGTAATAAGTTAATTTTCTTGTCTTGTTTTCAGGCTTAAGAAGAGTCCCAAGCAACTGTAAAATTAAACACAAGCATGTTGAAAGTAAATTTCAATATGTTTTGGTAAAGTGACTATTTTGTTTTCTTTCATGTATATACATTGCTTTGTCTCTCCTTTGCTTTTACATTCTTCCTATAGTTCTTCAGGTTAAACATCTTCATTTCCAGAATACTGCCATGACCACTCAAGAAAAACAATATCATCTGCTCTCTATTACTAGAAACACAAAGCTTCCACAAACACTGGGACAGGCTGTCATGAAAAGGACATCATGCGGTCCTTGACATGATGGCAATGTGTCACAGTTTCCTTCACTAATATGCCTCAAAAATAAGAAATGAATCAATATTAAAAGAAAAGAAAACCAGCAGAAACCCCAGAAGAACCCAAAGTTGTTATGATTTGGTAAAGAAGGGAAACAGCAGTCCTGAACAGAAGAGCGCCAGACTCCCAACACAGAGAGTAGACTTGGGGAGAAATTTTGAGTTGGACTCTTTTCTAGCCACCTCATTGCCCACAGTAGATCACTGCCTTCCCCATCAGCCCTACAACAATACTGAAAGCAGATTTGTAGGGGAACATTATTGGGATGTAGGATAAAAAAAATACAGTAAGTGCTGGCTCAACCACTTACCTGCTTGGAGGAAACCAATCTAAGGGTTTCCTCCTATCTTCTCCTATAGGCTTTTTTTGGCCACCCAGAGAGCTGGACCAATACATTTTTAGAAAAACAAAGCCTAAGGTAAGGTATAGAGAAATTCACTAAGGGGCAACACGTTCTGATAAGAGTGACACACATGAAGGTATTAAGAGTTAGACCTCCCCCTCACTCACAAGGAGTGACACGAGTGGCAGAAGCTAACAAGGCCTAGGTTTTCATTACTCCTACTTTTTCTCCGTCCATTACTCACCAAGATAACCGATAACCCTGAGGGAAAACATCTCACGGGGAAAAATAACTAGACAAT